GCATGTAGGTATTAATCAAATTAGATGCAAATGTTGCCCTCCAAGACCAATCACAACGCATGCAGGTAGGTACTATTCAAATTAGATGCAAATGTTGCCCTCCAAGGCCAATCAGAACACATGCAGGTAGGTATTATTCAAATTAGATGCAAATGTAGTGACTCTCATTTCTGGGACAAGAAAATTCCCTTTTTGGCAAAAGATCATTCTACTACTATTTGAATACTGTAAACCAAAAATGTTCATAATTTTATGACATTCATGAAGACAAAGTTTTGTAAAAGTCACTGCCACTCAGTGTCATATAATCCTATAACAATTTTGACTGCTACAAAATTTCTCAATTTCAACTGACCTGCGAAATTTGCAAAAAAATTTTCTCTGGTGGAGTTTTTAAATGGGTCACAGTAATTAATTTTTAATGATCTTCAGTGATTTACAACAATGCATCCAGGATCCATGTTACTATAGAAACAAGGATAAAGAATAAACACTGAAGTGTCTTGCAGGCTGTTTGGTGAATTAAGAGAAAGATATTCTAAAGTATTTGTAAATACTAGTATATCAAATTACCGTAGTTGGCGATGAGCAGCTTAACAGCAATGTTGATGTATGTTTTCATTCTTTTAGATGCTCGACCTCTCAGCATTAGTAAATCATTTAAAGAAGAAGTTAGACCGCCAGATGTTCCAATAAAACAGGTATGCTTCAGACTTTCAGACAATATATGTTTACTTGTTTTGGCTGTAGGTGTATAAAACTTTATCACATGCAGTATCTCCACAGTGCGACATATGACTGAAGAGATACTAAATGCACATCACTTTAATAGTTTGACATCACATACCAGTACTACTAAACTTTTTTTTTTATTGTATGCATCACAAGAAGGCCATCTGAAGCTTCCCAGTTAGTTTGTCCTGATACGGCATCACATGATGTGAATTGAAAATTGTTCGCCATATTAAAATGAAATATCACAAACAAGCATTTTTGCAACAATAAAATTAGCATACAAGTCTTGCTAATAATCTATTTGAAATGGGTGTTGTTATTTTTTTTTCTAGAATTATTATGCAATCTTATTCAATGCTTGAAAAATGTTTGCCATATTGGAATGAAATATCACAATCAAATTTTGACAAAAATTCAAATATATGTCTTGTCAATGATCCGATTTTTCAAACAGCATGATAGTTTGTTCTACAAATCAAGGATGACCAAATGGTAAAAATAAAAAAAGACATCAAATTTTAAACCTTTTTTCTAATCTGGAATCAGATGGATTGGATTTCAATCAAACTTGGTACCTATGTTAGACATTATGTGACTTTTTGTTTTTGGAGATCTGATTCAAAATGGCCGTCTGCTAGTCATTATGTATTCAGAAATGCATATTTTTAATATGTCTGTCCCAATCATGTTAAAACTTCACACTTACTTCAGGTCATGTGTATCCATGTACATTTGTTTCGCAGTCCAATTGAAGATGGTCAAATGGTATCTATTTTAAAGCCAACAAAATCAAATAAATCAGGTCCTGATTCAAAATGGCTGACATGTTTCATTTTTGTTTTGTTTTTTGTTTACTATTGCATGACAGGGACTTTATTTGCATTTGTTTTTATTCACAGAGAGACAGATCCCGATCAGTATCACCACCTCCCCTACCACCTAAACCTTTGGTTAGTCCTGGCATGAAACCAGTTACAAGACAAACAACTGTTCATGGGTATTCTTCTCCTACTACACCACAAACCATTTCCAGTCAGTCATTCAACAGGCGACCAGTGCCGCCAACGCCAACAGAACAGTCACCCTCAACTTGACACAAAGATAGATGGTAAATAAAGAAAAGTGTAACGATTGATTTCCAGTAAGCATCTATAATAAAATGAATTATATTACAGTAGTGTAATATTCGCACATGCTGTCAAAGACGTGTCAGTTACATGGACAGTAGCAGTCAATCAAAACAATGATGTTACTGTGTTTCAATTTGTATCAATTTATAACAAATGTTTCATTTTTAATAAAATTGTGATTTTGCATTTACATGGGGAATAGTAGTATAATAATTGTAGTCAAATATTTAATCTTTCCTGACATGGAATTTTATTTAGTTGTCATAATTCAGTTTCTTTACTTTGAGTCGGTGAAAAAAAACACGGCACAATTGGTCTTCAGCTGTGTTTTTGACAAAACTTTCTGAATAGGGTTGTGTGTTTTGGTACACTGTACTATTCAAATTTCTAAAGAGTTTGTAAATATGGTGATTTAATTTTACTTAACAGCTTACTTGTAAATAGGAATGTATGCAATATTTTGTTTGAAAGCTATATAACTCATAACTTACTGCAATGGGAGAGGACATTTTTAGTGGTGTTTTGTTTTCTTCTTTTTCTCAACTGACTGCCAGTTAAATGTTGTACATATGCTGAATATTTCCAAAATTGTGGATATTATAACAAGTCTTCCACATATGCTCATCTAAATAATTATCTGCTTTTATAACCTTTTCACCACCAGACTTTCTCGTCCTAACTTTTTCTGTACTTTTTTTTTAATATTCTTCAATATTTCTGGAAATGAACTCTAATTTTAGAGCCAACAAACAACATTTGAGCCAATTTTCAGTTTTTACCCAAAAAAATTGGCTATTTTTGCCCCAAACTTCTGAAGGAAAGTGCAGACTATAAACGGGACTATTTTGTGAATTTGTGATGAAAAGATGGAACTGGTGGTGAAAAGATTAATGTATTTGTAAGATACTTGCATTTTTATTTTCAGCTGTATATTTGTGTCTTCCATCTGAAAAGTGGCTGTTGATTTTTAACTGCCTCTTCCCTCCGCATACTATATTTGTGTCTTCCATCTGAAAAGTGGCTGTTGATTTTTAACTGCCTCTTCCCTCCGCATACTATATTTGTGACAACAGTTGCATATTCTCAAACGTATTCTTGTTTCATCACTGTGACCACATTTTTGTCTGCTTTTCAAAGTAAGATAAAATATTGTAAACTGTTTAATTAACCAGGGAGTCATCACCTGCGCATGCGTCAGATGGCCGCAGAGTGTCATTGTTTACAAACAAGAGTCTACCCATGGGCCTTTGCGTTTTTAGCAATTATCATCACTTGGAACTCAATTCCTGTGCGTGCGCAGGTGACGACCCTCCCACTTTAATATGGACAACATTGTAAAAAGGAGTAGGTCAGCCATGCATAATTCATGCAATATGGTAAACAAAAAATGTGCTTATAAATACAATGCAAGCCATTTTATATACCCAGTTATTTTCCAAGATCCATAAAAATGGTATTCTCCGCACATCTATTCAGCTTGTCAAATAAACCTGTACAAATCATTTAAATATATTTTGATACAAACAAAAACTATTATTTCTAATGTAAAATAGTAGTAGATACGTTTCAGCAATTTTTTCTGCACTTCAGGTGAGAGCCATGCTGCGTCATTGAACAGCTGCCTTATAGTCACTTACATTAAAGTATTTGGTAACTATCAACCAATAGTAATCAGAAAATTGTATTAGTTATTTAGAAGTATGAAACCATTCAGGAAATCTTGCTTCCATCCACCTACCATTGTGTGCAAGATCAAATTTTATTCAAATTGCATGATTGCAGTCCCAGTATATATATATATATATGCAGTAGTCAATGCTGAATTCAAACCACAGAAATTCCATAATTTTACAATGTATATTTACAATATTCATAATAATATATATAATGCTTTTGCATATAACATTTCTGGGAATCAAATATGGTACAATGTTTTTACTTGTGTGTGAAGCATTCAATGGTTACTTTGTCTGTCTGTATTTTTATGTGTGTATGTATGCCTTCCTGCTTTTCTGTTCCACTGATAACACAAGAACTATTGACTCTGTTTCAATCAAACTTTGTTCAAACAAGCTTTTGGATAATGCAAATACCTATATATGTTTGAAGTCTACAAATAAATCAGCCAATTTTAAGTTGTTCCACATATCTCAAGAACCACTCGTCAGATTTCAATGAAACTTGGGTAAATGTGTGATCTGGGTAATCCGCATGTTTTAGTTTGGGAATGGAATCTGTGCATATTAATTGCTTTAATTTGTATATATTAATCAAGTACCACTTAGCATAGCAATATTTAAGTGAAGCTTAGAACATAGGTGATCGAGGATACTCCACGAGACACAAACGTGCAATCATTAGTTTTCTTTCTGTTATAACCTACTTAGACAAAGGGTATTAGTCACCACATGGCATCCTGCTTGATAAAGGATCTATAGCGATGTACACAACGCATGTAAAATACATTGTCACACAAAATTCTATTGCTTCCACATTGTGCATCTCAGAGCTGTAGCTTCTTTTTTTAATAATCATAAATTTGAAATCAATTTTTAAATATTTCATGTTTCCAATACCCTCAGCACACGGGAGTCTTTCCAAGTTTCCTTTGAATTGTATATGATTTTCCCTTTTTTCAATGACACCAGTTGTCTCAGTGCTTACACGGTACAACATTGCAAATGCTATGGAGCACATTTTTTTTACAGCTATAAAAGGCTCAAAATATTTTTGTAGAAATATTTTCTTTTCTGACAAGGAACTAATAAAATATGATTTAAAGTAAATTTATATATTTGTTTTTTTCTTTTTTGGGGTTTATAAGGATGTTTCAACACTGTCTAATGTAGAAGGATGTGGTTTCACAAATAACTGCTGGCAAGATTGATTTGAATGGGATGATGAATTATCAAGTTTTGTTTTTTTATTCCCAGTTTCTAATGGTCACAACTTGCTAAATGGGAGTTCTGGGATAATACCGATAGTTTTGTTGGAGCTGATCTGTACTGAAGTTTCTGCAGATTTATAGATGTCAGTACAAAAGCACTGTACTGTAAAATTTACATTAGAAGCTACAATCCAACAGAGGGGATGATGCTTCTATTAGAGTATCTACACATATTAGAAATGGTGAATTTTTGGTTTTCAATATATGTAGTTCAAAATGAATGAATGGGGAGTGTATTAAAAATACTTCACATACATGTATCATGCTGCATTCAAAATCACGTGCAGCTTGAATTAAATTTCAGGTAAACACTGCATATATACACAACACCATGCCCCGTCCAGTAACCGTAAACTAAAGTCTGCTTTTTTTAAATTGGAATTTGATACATGTTAAGTAATATAACATGATCTATGTAGTATAAACTTGTATCTATAAACTTGATTGCATTCAATCGGGCATGGCATACAGCTCTTGAACAGCATTCATTCAAAAAAAAATGGTCACCAGTCTGATCTGAAAAACAAAATTACGTGTATCAATACTACACAAAATCTGTCCTGGCACAACCGAGATCCAGTCAGATGCCTTATTTAACCTCAAAATAGCCATCATTCACTAGTTCTGAATTAAATACATGGGTGTGAAGTTTAAATCTTATCAGTCAAGGGCATGCAAATGATATTTCTCTGGAACAGCAAAAACTGTCAGTAATACTAAACCTAAAAATCAGTCGGCCATTTTAATCTGATCTGCAAGAAAAATTATGTGCATCAAAAACCCATAATATTCAATGTAAACACAAACTTTGAAAAAAAATGTCCATGCCTGACCAGGATGTGTTTCCTAAATGGCAGAAATTATTGTGATGCATTTTAGCACATATTAGTAAATCAGATTGTTAAAACTGAACTAGCACATGTATCCAAAGATGTGCGAGTCTATATATACTCATGTTTGCGCAACGTGTATACACTCAAAAGCAAGACACGATAAGACACATTATGTTTCGCAATCCATTTAAACATCACTGGTTGCAAATTTTGTAATAAAAATTCTCATGTCCTATGGTATTAATTACCACTAAGACATCAATATTTATTTACAATATCAGTTTGTGTTTGACACAAAGATTAAAAATCACCATTTTGTTTTTAAAATTCGCCCAGTAATACCAAAGATGACAAATTTGTTTAACAAATTTTTCAGTAATTTTCTGTATATAACATGTCGAATGATTGCAATTTTTGTTAGTGACATTTTTTTATGATTTTTCTATAATTAAGCCTGGGCCCAGAAGCATAGCATTATGTGCATGCGATTTTCATAGCAACCTATCAGACTATGAATTATGACTATTATATGAAGTTATTACGAGGATACCTCAAAGTATGCATGAAGACAGTACAGCGAGAGTATCGACCGACGTGCAGCAGTCATTACGACTGTGTACTGTCTGAGTGCATACTTTGAGGTATCCTCGTAACATTATTATTATCTTTTCCTTCCAACGATACATCATGGGAATGCCGAAATCCAAAATATTTGGAATAGAATCTTCTTTGTGTGGAGTCCGGTCAAACCCTGGTGGCAGCCATGTTTGTTTTTATTATTAAAGGACGCTTACATGCGTAATCATTCCATATTTGGAATTCGCATTTCCTAATATGGTAGGATGAAAATAGCGCAAAATTACGGCACGCTGTAACTTATGGCGTTACGGTGACAGATGTATAATATATAATAATGCACAATGTTTTCATCTTACAATCCATTCTAATATGTCAGACAGGCAGCATTTTTGTTTTTTTTAAATTGTTGAAATTGCATAGATTGATCTGTTCAAAGTCAGTACATGTGCGTCCAGTAAAGCGCACCCACTTTTGGTTTTTGAGACAACTTGTGGCTGTCAAGACAAGACGTTATACACAACTAACATTCCAATAAGCTGCTGGTGCAAGTCAGTTCATTTTCTGTTAGTGGGATTAATATTTAACCCTTTCAATTAAGTGAAGCC